CCCAAAGATAATACTTTCGATTGAAAATGGAACTTACCTCATGCTATTTAACACGTCTCCAAAATTTTACTTAAATTTTTTGTATCCTCGTAGTAGTTCTAAGAAATTTTAAAATCTTGCGAACTCGTATGGTTGACTTGCGAAAGGTCACAATTCGCCGTAACAACTGTTTATAAAACAGGTATATCCTTACTGATTTTATACTGTCTCAAAAATATTAATTAATACGGAATTATTTGAAAATTTTGATAAATAACCCGTTAAAAAAATATCAGTTGCTTTTTAACAATTTGTACACATTGAAATGAAGTTTTCATCACTTGATTCAGTTTGTTTTTTATGTGTTATTGTGTTAAACAAAGTAATAAAAACAATTACAATTGACTCACGTTCTCACATGAGGGTTCGTTTCTGTTTTCCTTCCACCACTTATTTTTCAAATCGTTCAACCTTCCACTTTCATGAAGTTTCAAAATGGCCTTATTGATAGCACTTCTATAAGGCGCATCTACAAAAAATTCTCTTAGCAAACTTATTACTCTGCACACGTAACCAGAGATGGACCAAATATTCTGGCATACGCTGCTAAGAAGGAATTTCTCAATTATTTCGAATATATCGGGCATATGGCGTGGCACCATGTGCAAGAAAAAAAAAGAAAAAATGAAAATGCCCGATACTTACTCATCGGCATAGCTATACCGTAACTCTTCGTATCCAAGAAAGTTCCCACCTGCTTCAAGTCGCAGTTGGTTTGTGTAACGTATTCGATTTGAGTAGATTCCATTATAAAAGCATATTTCCCTCGCGACGCTTGCACCCTCCTCACACCAGCATGGTTACTATTTTCGAAGACGCTAGGCTTACTAGAAATCATGTTTACCCACATCCTCTGGTAAGTGGAGAAATTGGAGTCTCTGAAGAAGGCCATTGTCGATCCTCCGTTCACTACACCGTACTTAACCTTGGACTGTCCTGAAAGGGCCTCAGCTCCGTCGATGACTGGTTCTGGTCTGTCGATAGCTAGAAAAAACGTCAAGTTTGCTATGTAGGAGCTGACCAGGATCAACGAGAAGAACCACCACATCGTAACCGCGATCCTTGATGACGTTCCCCTAGAAGTACGAAATACTTGGAGCATCTGTAGCAATAATAGGTAATTGTACCAAAAATCGTCTTAATAAAAGTTCTTATTCAAGTAACCCCAAAGAAACAAATTACAAGGCCACTTGTTGAGTCCAATCATGGAGTTGGTCATTTCCAGTGTCGGTGTAATGGTCTAGCAAAACCAGCAAATCTCTTTAATTTCTTTGGAGTACACTGCCGGCCCTTTGAAAGTGGACGATTTATTTTTCTAATGTGATGTGGTCTACTTCTTATTATGACGACAAGTTTTTATATGTCAGTGTCATTAGCAATTTGCTTGGTAATTCAAGATGCCGCGGTTAACGGAATCAGAGAAAGTGAGAGCTATAACTTTACTTCAGAATGATTGGTCATTGCGGATGATCTGCAAGAACAGCATATTTAGACTCAAAGAAAAATGGATTGCGGAGGGTCACGTACGTTATATTCACGGAGGTGGACGTCGAGAAGTAAACACCACCTAAGAATAAATCCTTTTGACATGGCAGTAGCGGCTTCCTTTGAGACGAATTTTCCTGGATCATTGCGAACTGCAAGGAAGCGGGTGAAAGATTCGGAGCTGAAGAATTATGTGACCGCAAATACAGTTGCTTTGACTCCCCAGTATAAAGAATAGAGGTTAGAGTTTGCAAGACAATTTGTAGGAAGCCCAGACAACTTCTGGGAGAATATTATATTTTCGGANACGTAACCAGAGATGGGCCATGCCCATCTAAAAATATTCTGGCATAGAAAAAAAAAGAAAAAATTAAAATGCCCGATACTTACTCATCGGCATAGCTATACCGTAACTCTTCGTATCCAAGAAAGTTCCCACCTGCTTCAAGTCGCAGTTGGTTTGTGTAACGTATTCGATTTGAGTAGATTCCATTATAAAAGCATATTTCCCTCGCGACGCTTGCACCCTCCTCACACCAGCATGGTTACTATTTTCGAAGACGCTAGGCTTACTAGAAATCATGTTTACCCACATCCTCTGGTAAGTGGAGAAATTGGAGTCTCTGAAGAAGGCCATTGTCGATCCTCCGTTCACTACACCGTACTTAACCTTGGACTGTCCTGAAAGGGCCTCAGCTCCGTCGATGACTGGTTCTGGTCTGTCGATAGCTAGAAAAAACGTCAAGTTTGCTATGTAGGAGCTGACCAGGATCAACGAGAAGAACCACCACATCGTAACCGCGATCCTTGATGACGTTCCCCTAGAAGTACGAAATACTTGGAGCATCTGTAGCAATAATAGGTAATTGTACCAAAAATCGTCTTAATAAAAGTTCTTATTCAAGTAACCCCAAAGAAACAAATTACAAGGCCACTTGTTGAGTCCAATCATGGAGTTGGTCATTTCCAGTGTCGGTGTAATGGTCTAGCAAAACCAGCAAATCTCTTTAATTTCTTTGGAGTACACTGCCGGCCCTTTGAAAGTGGACGATTTATTTTTCTAATGTGATGTGGTCTACTTCTTATTATGACGACAAGTTTTTATATGTCAGTGTCATTAGCAATTTGCTTGGTAATTCAAGATGCCGCGGTTAACGGAATCAGAGAAAGTGAGAGCTATAACTTTACTTCAGAATGATTGGTCATTGCGGATGATCTGCAAGAACAGCATATTTAGACTCAAAGAAAAATGGATTGCGGAGGGTCACGTACGTTATATTCACGGAGGTGGACGTCGAGAAGTAAACACCACCTAAGAATAAATCCTTTTGACATGGCAGTAGCGGCTTCCTTTGAGACGAATTTTCCTGGATCATTGCGAACTGCAAGGAAGCGGGTGAAAGATTCGGAGCTGAAGAATTATGTGACCGCAAATACAGTTGCTTTGACTCCCCAGTATAAAGAATAGAGGTTAGAGTTTGCAAGACAATTTGTAGGAAGCCCAGACAACTTCTGGGAGAATATTATATTTTCGGACAAAAAAAGTTTTCAATCTTGCTCCGATGCTTCTGTCCGTGTCTACCCACCAGAGATTATAAGGTATTCGGAGCCTTATGTGAAACCCACACAGCGCAGCGATAGATTCTCCATTAACGTTTGGGCTTGGATAGATAAGCTGCAGTCCTGATGTTTGTTGTGACCATGCTGTATCCTCAGAATTTCACTTTCAAGTAGGATAATTGTGCAATTCACACCTCAAGAGTTGCGTCAGAATGGTTCATTGATAACAACATCGATGTTACCTTGGCCCTCAAAGTCCTGGGGATATATAGTGAAAAAAATTTACGACAGAAACTTCCGTCCAGTTAACGTCGAAGAACTTTGGGAGGCAATTGAAAACGCATGGGATAACATCGCTGAGGATTATAACAAGAACATTAATTTTATCAATGCCATGTAGATTGCAGTGTTATAGACAAAAATGGTGCTTGTACAAAATACTAACTTTACGAATTACCTTTTTTTTGACGACGAAAAGTGTTTCATTTTTAAATCTCGCTGACGGCGTATGAATGGCTGTTACAATGTATAATATATTTCAGTATTGGAAAAATAAATAATTTGCTACCCAATTTGGATTTGTTTTGCTCACTAGAACTAGTATGATAGACACACATTAAATTTGACATAATAATAGCCGATTTGAACCTCACATTTTCAAGTCAGCTTCACAAAGGCCAATTATAGACAATTTGCTTATAAGAGTCGTCCACTTTCAAAGGGCCGGCACTGCACGTCAGTTTCGTACAGCTTCAGTTTTCCTTGGGTTAGTCTTGAGACTATTGGTAGATTAAATATGGCGCAGGTGTACTCTTTGAAAGAAATTGCACTTTTTGGGCGCCAATTTGACTCTTTTTTTAAACATTTTCGATATTCTTCGTCTGTTCTTCAAATGTCTTGCCCAATATAATTAGTTGATTAAGCTTTAAACTGTAACTTTTTCATAATTGACTTTTGGTAATATTATTATATTTTTACGATGGTGTCGATAGTATGGGCCTACGTGAGGATACAAAAAATTTAAATAAAATTTGGCACACGTGGTGTTAAATGGGATGAGGTATGTTCCATTTTCAATTGAAAGTATTTTCTTTGAGATTTGACAGAAACGACTAATAACGTCAACAATTATGTTTTGTCCAAAGACATACTCATTTTTTTACTATTAACAAGTTCTCTTTTCTAATAAACTTTTATTAGAGAATTTTTTCTGTATTGATTCCCGTTTAAAAGTTATAAACAATATCGTCTTAAAGAGTCTCCAAAGAAATACCACCTAAAAATCACATTAGCGGTGGAAAGATCAAGTAGTCGTTGGAAAATTATTGAATGTCCATTGTTTAAAATGCATAATTGTCATTAAGAATAAATAAAACGATTAAACTCGATAATTCTTTAAAACAGTTAAAACAGAAGGGGATGTTAACAATAACTAAACTTAAAAAATGAGGCAAACCCTTTCATACTACATACATATTACAATCTATTCTCTATATTGTAGTATAACAACCCCGAGTTCGATCGAAAAAAAAATATATAAACGTAGTTGTGGCCAAAAATATGTGATCATCATGAGGAATCCCTACGTTGTATACATCTATTTTTAATTGACCGGAAAAAAAGCAGAGTAGATACACCTAACTTTATTATTTACGTACGACAGTCTTCAAATTAAACATGTGACAAATAGAAAGAACAACAAAAACATTAACAACCATTTAACATAAAATGAGANAGAACTTTGGGAGGCAATTGAAAACGCATGGGATAACATCACTGAGGATTATAACAAGAAAATTAATTTTCTCAATGCCATGTAGATTGCAGTGTTATAGACAAAAATGGTGCTTGGACAAAATACTAACTTTACGAATCGCCTTTTTTTTGACGACGAAAAGTGTTTAATTTTTAGATCTCGTTGACGGCGAATGAATGGCTGTTAGAATGTATAATATATTTCAGTATTGGAAAAATAAATAATTTGCCACCTAATTTGGATTTGTTTTGCTCACTAGAACTAGTATGATAGACACACACATTAAATTTGACATAATAACAGCTGATTTGAATCTCACATTTCAAGTCAGCTTCACAAAGGCCAATTATAGACAATTTGCTTATAAGAGTCGTCCACTTTCAAAGGGCCGGCACTGTACGTCAGTTTCGTACAGCTTCAGTTTTCCTTGGGTTAGTTTGAGACCATTTGTTGATATAATATGGCGCAGTTGTTCGAGTACCCATTGAAAGAAATTGCACTTTTTGGGAGCCAATTTTACTACTTTTTTAAACATTTTCGATATCTTCGTCTGTTCTTCAAATGTCTTGCCTAATATAATTAGTTGATTAATCTTTGAACTGTAACTTTTTCATAATTGATTTTTGGTAAAATTATTATAATATTTTTACGATGGTCCTATATTCAGAAGTACAGGGTGTCGATAGTATGGGCCTACGTGAGGATACAAAAAATTTAAATAAAATTTGGTACATGTGGTCTTAAATGGGATGAGGTACGCTCCATTTTCAATTGAAAGTATTTTCTTTGGGATTTGACAGAAACAACTAATAACGTCAGCAATTATATTTTATCCAGAAACATACCCATTTTTTCCTATTAACTAAACTTAAAAAATGAGACAAACCCTTTTCAGTAGACCAGTAGTATTCGTTGCGCCTGTTTGTCAAACCATTACTGACAAACCGACTTTCCTCCCACCAAAAAACGTGCCGAAAAAGGTTCTGATCAACAGTTTCTACATTTACTAATTTGAGCTATGAAAGTAAATCTGTTTGCAATATGACTCTCAGGCAAATACTCTAAATTGTGAATTTTGTAGTCATGATACCCATTGGTCTTTAAAATTCGTTGAACGGCTGACTTATCCAAATTCAATTCCCGGCTAGCTTGCAGTATAGAATTTCGTGAATTTTGTTCGAAATATTGTAACAATCTAGCTGTATTAACATTGTTTCTTACCATACGGTCAATTATTTGATTTTTTCGAAGGAAGGAAATCAATATTGTCACAAATTCAGTAAAAACCGAAATNTATTTTCCTCATATCGTAAACTCGATCGGTTAAAATTACTGCAAGCTCTTCTGACGTAGTTGTTTTAAATATTTCATATTTTCTTGCTTTGCAGAACTGTAAAAATTGAAACTATGTCGATGCTTTCTTCGTTCAACATATTATTTGAAGAGAATTTTTGCTGGAGCACATTAAAAGTACATTTCAGTTAAAACTTTTTCTTTATATTCGGTTTGATGTTAAAAAATAATTTGAAGAGTAACACATTTAAAGCGGCAAAATTATGATGTTAAAATGACATTTTATTTTGAGGATGGGGGAAATAATATAATCTAATAAGAAACATAGAGACAACTCTACTTGGTCATTATTTTCAGAAAGATGCGAGAAGGATAAACATGTTGGTACCATCATAACTTCTTTCCTACCTATGAAATTTAATTTTTTCTCCAGTTAAACGTCTCTTTACGCAATTTATCGCAGAACACCATTGCACCGTATTTAGTTTTTACGAATCTTTCACATACACTAACTAAATCACACAAAAATTCAAGAAATCAATCAATAATGTCAATAAGTACATGACATTTACTTCAAAGTTTGTTTATGGCATTGTGTAACGGTATACCCGTGTACCATCATTTGTTTTACCGGTATTTGCCTCAACTAGCTTTATCTGCCTTGCACACATCAGCGCAATTGACCTCTCTTTCTAGGGCCAGTCCATAGTTTAAGTACTAGGTCTGTGCCTGCAATCTTGTAAAGGTTCTAAAGGTTCTATGATCAGGAATGAGGCGCTCTGGATACCTTTGTCGATATAACTCTACAGCTCATCTTGAATTTTTTTGTGACTCGCCGTAAATTAGCAACATATCAACTTTTTCTGAATGTGAAAACATTTTGTAAGCACAAAAGTTATACGTTTCACATTCGTATTGAGTAATGACAAGTATTTTGTGACATTTATGCTCGTTAAACAACGAACATTCAATAATATTCCAACGACTACTTGATCCTTCCACCGCTAATATGATTTTTAGGTGGTATTTCTTTTGAGACTCTTTAGGACGATATTGCTTATAACTTTTAAACAAGAAGTAATACAAAAAAAAATCGCTAATAAAAGTTTAGTAAAAAAAGGAAAGCTTTTTAACAAGAAAATAATTTGGGTTCTGAAAAAACTATAATTGATTACGTCCTTAGTTTTGTCAAATTCCAAAGATAATACTTTGGATTGGAAATGGAGCTTACCTCATCCCATTTAACACCACGTGTCCCAAATTTTATTTAAATTGTTTGTATCCTCACAGTAGGCCCATACTACCGAGTTTGAGACGGCATGTACTTACTTTGGCAATATGTCGCAGCCTTGCGTCATTAGCGACGCCAAAGTTAACCACAGACAATTTTTGATGTCCCATATGTTTTCCAGCTGTTCCGGATGATCATCGCTCGGATAGGGGTTTTCCCAATCTCCAGGAGTTATCCTTTAAATGAAAATTGTTTCAGAGAAAATTTGTATGACGTACCTGGATTACCTGGATATGAAATATAATACGACGGAAACGATCAAATACAATGCGGCTGTATAAATCCAAACGGAGATCGAAAACGGATTTACGAAGGAGAACCACTTGACGTCGTTCATTTCCGCCTTTGTGTACAGAATACTTATTCCTAAAAAAAAATGGAGTCAGTTAAGTGGTGACTAGAGGTATTTCGCATACCTAGTGTCATAAACGGCATACTGAAGTCAACAACTTCTCTTCTTTGATGCGTAATCGTTAGATCGCAAACGGCAAGATCTGCTTTCTAAAAAATACAATTTTTAATCAAAGAAATTCCGTACGACTGGACTGGATAGAGTATTAGTCAGTGACTTTCGATTTCTTTAATATTACCTCCTCCAAAATATCTCCAATAAGCCCCGACCATTTTTTATTCCTTTCGTTCCATTGCCCATATTGCCCGTCTGCAGTTAAACGAAATTCAAATTTATAACCGATTAATTTCGCTATTTCTGTTATTAAATCCAACGAGTAACCTTCGTATCTGTCGTTTCCGTACAATATTTCACCCTCTTTGGGTTTTCTATACATTAAATAAGGTTCACCAAGCCTGAAACATTGAGTTTAGGTTACCAAAATATCCATAGATTCAAAAGGGATAGAACTGTTTAGATGTTGGACAGAAAAGTTTGACTTCAATAGTCATTCATATATGCTTCACTTTCCATCACAAATTTGACCTTATCTACAAACATATACTATTTGCATTTTACCTGGATGAGACAATGACAATGCCTTGATTTCCAAGGAACTGTCTCACCGTGGGAGATCTCCTTAAAAGCAGCGATTGGTTACTTGCAAACCAGTCGGCAATTATTCGATCTTGAAGAATATCCACCACTTGCATGTTAAAATTAATGCGATTTCCATTGTCGTCGAATTTTATGGGTCCAGACAATGTTGATGGAGGCTCGATCTAACCAAGAAAGAAGTTAATAACTGATACGTTAATACTTATGTAGCATAAAAATTAATACCGCATTTATCCAATCTAATATTAAAGTTTCAGGCAAAAGTCGTAGGTAGATACCAATATGCTTGACATTGACCTTAAGTTTCAAGGTTAAACCAAGGTTAACTTCGAAATATTAAATGGAACACCCTATTCTATATGCCAATAGATGTTGATAAATAAAACGATTCGTTTTTTCTCAAACAACTTTGATGTTAAAATATTTTAGTGTGGCATACTGTCAATATTGTTATTAAACAAATTATGTAAAGACTATTTTTAATTTCTCTCAGTTTTAATGATGAAATGTCGAATATACAGGGTGGCCAAATGAAAACGAAAGCCATTTTCAGGAACTGTAAGCATCTCCCCAAAATATTTAAATGGCATTGGGGGTTGAGTAATATTTCTTTTGAAAGCTCTTACAATTATCTTTACAACAGACTTTAAATTTTATAATTCCGCCCAATACTTATTAAGAATTTTGATTTTAAGGTTGAAACTCAGGTATGTACAAACAATTAGTTATCGAGTTAATCTTGCGTTACATTGGTTTTTGGCGATTTCTTATTACTTTCGTAAAAAAAAACACAATTGTGCAGTCTCTTTATTGTTGAGTCTGCTGTTTATGTTTTCATGAATAAGCAGAAGTTCTCTTTAAATTCTGAAATCCACCATTATAACACAAGGAATTGCAATAAATTCCGTTTACCCTTTTGTAAATATAACATTTCTCGCAAATCGCCGAATTGTCTGGCTATTAAAATTTACAATCATTTACCTTCTGAAATAACAGACTCACTTACACAGGGTGTTTTTAAGAGCAAATTAAAGAAGTTTTTATTGGAACGGTCTTTGTATGGTCTAGATGAGTTCTTTGCTGTAGATTACACCGGTACTGACAAATGACTAACATTTTTTTTT